AAAAAAAAAAAGGAAAGAAAATAAATAGAGAAAATCACCCCAGTGAAGGTGGCTCGGCTATTCCAACTACTCCTGTGCCTGAAAGTGAGTGCTCCCGTGCCCTGCCAGGAGAGGAGCGGGGGTGGACGGCGGGGGCGGTGGGTCTGTGCCCCTCCCCGGGGCCGCTCCCGGCGGGGGGAGCGCTGCGGGAGGGGGGCGGGACGGGCCCGGCCCCGCGGAGCCTCCCCGTCCCACCCCCCCCGGGGTCCGCACCTGGGGGCGACACCCGTGCGGAGCCCCCGGCAGCCTGCGCTGCCTTTCAAGGCTCTCCGAACATCTCCGGGCGCTGGCGGGCAGCAGCGGCTGTCGGCCACCGGGCTGGTGGCAGGCACCGCGCATTGTCTGCCGTCTGGCCAGGCGTGCCGTGTGTTGGGGTCTAAGCGGCAGTGTGTGTGTGTGTGTGTGTGTATGGGGGGGGGGAGAGTTTGTCGGTCTTCCTTTCCTGGGCGCACACCGACAACCTTTAAAGGCTACAGACGCGGAGATCTGACAGCCCAGGAGCTGCTGGGAGGCTAAAACCCTCCTTAGACAGCCCCACTCCCAAATTCCCTGTGACTCACCTGTTTTCAAATCCTGCCTTGTGTTCTGGACTGTGATAGAAGAATGACAACAACAACAAAACCCACACGAAACAAAGTCTTCCAGTTGCCCACCCCCCACACACATACACACACAAACACCAACATTGAAAATCCTAATATCCGCTCTTTCTGATCCCTAAAACCACACCCATTATAGGACTAGGAGGACTCATTGAAAGATCTAAACGTTTTTTTAAAGAGGGAATATCCACTACAGTGAAAAATGAAGCAGCATTCGGCACTGATCCATCCCAGGGATAGCTCTGTTAACACCTTGTCCATAAGCAGGCCACTCTGCCTGCAATCAGGGCTTATCCCAAATGAAAGCCAATTAAAACAACAGGGCAGCAGAAAAAGTCATTTTGCTGCTCAGTGCGTGTGTCCCTTTTATAACAATCTCTATTTTTTGAAACTTTGAGCTGGTCCACGCCCCGTTTTCACAGTGCCGTAACTATAGTCATTTAGAAATGGATGCTGTTCAAGTACAGCCCCCTGGTGCACAGGCACAGCTGTGAGGGGTGGCAGGATGAAATAATATGGACACAAATATTGCTACAAGGGCTCCGAGATGAACACAGCTGCTGCTGTGGGTGGAAATAAGCTATACCCCATAAGCACCTTTACACATGTACAAGGGGCTGTAGTGGATTTTAAAAAGATACAGGCAAAGGAGGAGTGAAATTGTTATCTATAAACCAGCCTTTGCTGAACAGTTCCCAAGTGAGAAATGTTCCCTGTGTAATCACAGTGGGTCCAGTTCAGCAATCCATAAGCAAGGAAGTCCACAGGAATTTTGTAAGAATAAGGTCTTTTGTAACAGGCTCCAGTTTCTCCCAGAGAATAAAAATTATTTATCTGCTTGGAACCAAAATAAAGCAAATAAAGCACTTTACTTTTTTTTTTTTTTTCCCCTTTCCTTTTTGCTTTTCTATTTAATGTGTCTACTTGCAGAGAAAAAACAGTCCCCTCTCAAACCCATTCGCAGCCCCATTTTCTCCTGCTTCCCACTCTGGTGAGTGTCTTTCTGGTTTTGGTTTGTTTGCTTGTTTTGTTTTGTTTGCTTTGTTTTGTTCAGAACAAAAACACTATTTATTTTGGGGGTAGATTGCCAGCAACTTTTACCTCCTCAGAAAAAAAATATTACCCCAAATCAGCACAGCTGGGAAAATGTACTGCCATGGCCAGGCCAGGAGCAGAAGGATGCAGCAGGACTAGCCACAGGTATACACACTCACCTCCTGTGAGAAAGGGTTTGCAGACCAGGCTTTGGCTTTTAATGTGCCTTTCAAAGGGCTTGATTGATTGCTGTTAATCCTGTGAACAACTTCGGTGTTGTTAACAGGACTGCCCGCATTAAGTAAAGGTACTCGCATGCATTAGTATGCTCCTCGTCCCCATGACGTCAATAGACAGCTTTCCAATGACTTCCAGGAGGGCTGGATCAGGCCCTTGCTAGCAGCAAGTTTTTAATGAACACCGTTTGGTGCAGGCAAGGGGGGCACAGCGATACATCAGTCCTGACTGTCTTCATTCTCCGGGAAACGAGCAAGTAAAGAAGAAAGGCAGGAATAGGCCGAAAGGTTGCTGGAGGGGGATTCTTCTGCTGAACTTCAAGCTCCTGGACCCACAGCACACAAAACCATCAGTGGCTGTACGATGTAAAAAGAATTGCAGGCAAGTTTTGTATTAAAAAAAAAAAAAGTGTGAATTTTATTTTTAAATAGATAAACTAAATAGCAGGCAAGTTTTGCTTCAAGTAAATAAACAATATGTGTGGGGTTTTTTTTAAATAACAGTGTATTCTTCTTTAGATCTAGTTAGATATATCAGCTCATATATTCACAGATTTTCTGCTATCTTATTAAGACTTTTTTTTTTTAATTACATGAGATTGTTAATAGCAAAGGCACACGTCCTGATCTCAAATTAGATACAGCTTTCAGCTTCTATGAAAGGGCCCGATCCTGCCAAGTCTTCTAACTCAACTGGAATTGTTTACTTCAGGTTGTTAGGCTTTGCAGGGAGTGCTGACAGGATCAGGGCATATTAGCTACATAATCAAATTAAATAATTGAGAGCTGCATGTGGGCCTCTTAATAAATCTAACAAAAGGAGAGGGACCACCACCCACTAAAATTCGGGTGAGAACCCAGGCATCAGGGGATGGGCTCGATCCTGAAAACCATAATCTGCATTGTTGTTAATCAGCGTGCTGTGGTCAGAAAGATTATTCATCTGAGGAAGGATTACCCATGTGAACATTTGCAAGATTGGTCCCTGAATTAAAGCCTGAATCACTATGGGTTGTTTTTTGTTTGTTTGTTTGCTTTTTTTTTCCTCTGCCTTAGTTAGAATCAAGAAGGTTGACTGAGGAGAGAAATGAAAAATTCTTTGTATCCAAAGGAGCTTAGCACAGGATTGTAGTGGATATAGGCAACAAAAGGTATCACTGTTATAGAAAAAGAGTTTGTTTGTGGAGTCATTTTGTTATTAAGTAGCACTGGTGAGTTTGGGGAGGCTGCATAGAAACCCAGGGTTAAGACAGGACAGAAAAATAGAAGAGTGTGTATGTATGTGTTCTTATGCATGTTTAGACACAGAATTTGTGCAGACACATACATATACATCACTACACTCTACCCAATGGATTCTGCTATTTAAACAGAGCTCTCCAGAATATTCCTATTACCCGTGCTC